GGCACTGCTGTTGCCGGGAGGGCACAGGCAGCCCCAGCCCTTCCTCACAAAGCTGCCCAGGGCCCACTGCCCCTCTAAACCACAGCTCTCCTCTCCATCCAGAGGGATGGCCTGCAAGAAGGGCCATTGCATCTGGAGCTGTTCTCTCAGCAGTGCAAGGTGTGCACTCAGATCTGCCATCCCTAAGTAATCTCATGGGGACTTGGCCTGCTCAGGGAGGGAGGAAAGGGAAGGGGGGAAGGCAGTGGAGGGGAGGAGAAGGAGGGGAAGTGGACAGAACAGGTGGGGAGATGGCAGGAGGGGTGTTTCCCTGCATTTGCTCTGGATCAGCAAGTTTTTCTGAAAATGTGAGTCTGTCTGCTGACAGCCACAGCCCTGGGAAGGAGGAGCTGCATGATGGGAGCCTTTCACATTGGCCAGGCTGGAACATGGCAGGAGCCAGGGCTTTGCCCCAGTCACATCGTCCGTGCTGAGCCTAGCACCCAGGGCCTTCCTCAGGCCTCACCTTCCCCCAGGTGATGAGGACAAGTGATGCTCTCTCCTGGCATAGCCCAGGGCACCCCATGTGGTCAGAAGGAACAACAGAGCCCTCATCACTCACCCCATGGGGGCTGACCACTGTCCCTGGGGCTCCCCAGCACCGACAGGCCCCACAGGGCTTCAGAGCAAAGAAAACACTGGAAAGCCAAGATCACCTGGGGCTCAGGGCAGCTTCAGGCATCTCTCAAGCTGAGGTGCAGCTGCCCCTTTGTTTCTGCATATGCAGTTATTTGCTACCCACTTAGTGATTAAAACTGTTTCTCTTCATGGCACATGAACTGGGCAAGAAGCCAGTTCCCTGTTAGTCTCCTCCTATTAAGAAGAGACTTCACGGAAACAAGGAAGCCACAGCATACACACAGGTATGAAGACAGTGAAAAGGAGACATGTCAAGGTTTTTCTGCTATTTTAGATCTGAACTCAGACATTTGTGTGCATCCCAGCACCAAAGTCGGGTTTTTTTCCTCCATGCTGTGTAACTTTTTGCCAGCGAAAGTGAGTCAGGCTGACCTGGCCTTTGGCATAACTGGGCTCCTTTCTCTTTTAATTGTGTGCCTACACTTTCCCATTTTTCCAACAAATTATTTCTTTCTCTCCCCTTCCCCTCAGTTCCATCTTTTATTAAAGGTAATTATAATTTGACTTTCTGGACAGGTCATCGAGTAGGTAGACACAGGATATACGTAGAGGCTGGTCTATACCTCCAGAGATGTATGCTAAACTATTCTACTGTTAAAGGCTAGCTAGCTAGGGGCTATGTTGACTCTAGCTAGAGTCATTGTTTGCCAGTTATTATTTCTTTTGGGGCACTGTGACAGTGATGGTAAGGTTGTCAGCCTGCAGCTCTGCAGCAGTTGAAATTACCACTGAAAGAATTTTGATGGTGGATGCTGTTCTGTGTGTTTCGTTTTCAATAATCATTTCACTGAGCTAGATTTATTTCTATGCTATTAGGTGATGGGGATCTTCTTGCACTGATCTTCTGTTTCTGGAGCGCATCCTGACAGCCTTTGTCATCCAGAGCTTTCCTGTCTGTTCCTGAGAGGAGTGATGGCCACAACGCAGAATGACTACTGTGAGTAACAGCTTTTGGTGGGTTGACCTTGGCTGGACAGCAGGTCCCACCAAGCCACTGTATCATTCCCCTCCTCAGCAGGATGGGGGGAAGAAATTAGGATGGCAAAAAAAATAACCAAACACGTAGGTCAAGATAAAGGCAGCTTAATAAACAAAACGCAAAGGCTGAGCGCAGAAGCAAAAGAAAACAAAAATTTATTCTCTACTTCCCATCAGCTGGTGGATGGTCAACCACTTCCCAGGAAGCAGTGTCACAGTGTGTAGCGGTTACTTCAGAAGACAAATGTTGAAAAAAGAAATGCCCCCACTCCTCCTTTCTCTTAGCTTTTATTGCTGAGCTGATGTCATATGGTATGGAATATTCTTTTGGCCAGTTTGGGTCAGCTGTCCTGGCTATGGCCCCTCCCAAGATCTTGCCCACCCGCAGCCTACTGATCCAGCAGAGGGGGGAATGTTGGAGAGACAGCCTTAGAATCATAGAATCATTAAGGTTGGAAAAGACCTTTAAGATCATCACGTCCATCTTGGATGCTGTGCGAGCACTGCTCAGCAGTAGCCAAAATACTGGTGTGTTATCAACACCTTTCTAGCTACCAACACACAGCACAGCACTATGAGAGATACTATGGGGAAAATTAACACCATCTCAGCCAGACCCAATACACAGCTTCACCAGTAGGCTTGGATTTAGTGAATGCTCATGGACAAATGGGTGTAGCAGGAGCTCCATCCAAGATTTTTGCTGTGCTGACATTAGAGTGAATTTGGAGGTGTTTCCTCTTCCTCCTTCTCTTCCACCTTCTCTTCCTTCTCCCTGTTCTTCTTCCTCCTTTTCCTCCTCTGGTTCTTCATCATCATCCTCTTTCTCCTGTTCTTCCTCCTGTTTTTCACCTTCTTACTCTTCCAGTTCTTACTCTTCCTCCTTCTTCTGTTCTTCTTCATCTTGTTCTTCATCCTCCTCCTCCCGTTCCTCCACCTCCTATTCTTTCTCCTGTTCTTCCCCTGTTCTTCCTCCCCCCGTTCTTCTTCCTTTTCCCCATCAACCCCCTTCTCCTCCTTCTCCTCTTCCCCCTCTTATCCTGTTCCTCTTCCCCTTGTTCCTCCTCCTGCTCTTCTTCTTCCTCTTGTTTCCCCTCCTCTTCATTCTCTTCCTCCATTTCTTCTTTCTCTACCTCCTTTTCTTCCTCTTCCTCCTCTTATCCTTTCTTCTTTTCCTTTTTATGTTCTTCCTCATACTTCTCCTCTTCCTGCTCTTGTTCTTCCTGTTAATTGTTCTTTCTCATCTTCTTCCACCTCTTCTTCCTATGGTTCTTCCTCCTCCTCCTGTTCTTTTTCTTTCTCCTCTTTTTTGTCTTCATTCAGTTCTTCCTCCACTTCTTCCTATTCCTCATTCTTCTCTTTCTCCTCCTCATCCGCCTCTGCATGTTCATCCAATTCCTCTTCTTCTTGTTCTTCATAGTCCTTCTCCTTATACCCCTCCTTCTTCTCCTCCAACTCATCCTCCCCCTATTTCCTTCTGGTTTTCTTCCTCCTCTTCCTGTTATTCTGTTTACCCTCTTCTTCTTTATCCTTCTCCTCCTGGTCATTCCGGTCTTTTCACAACTTCTCTTCTTCTGCTTCTTCCTCTTCCTCCTCCTTCTCCTTCTTTCTCTTCCTGTTCTTCACCCTCCTCCTCCTGCTCTTCATCTTCTCCTACCTCATATTCCTCTTTTTCCTTCTCCTTCTGTTCTTCCTCCTGTTATACCTCCTCCTTCTGCTCTTACTGTTCTTAATTTTCTTCCTGTTACTTTTCCAGAGGAGGCTCTGCTTCTTTCCTTACCCCCTCACCCTCCTGTCCCTCCTCCTTTTTTTTCCTTCTCCTTCTTCACCTCCTCTTCCTTTTCTTTTTCCTGTTCCTTTTCCTATTTCTTCTGTTCCTCCTCCACCTCCTCATCCTTCTCATGGTCATTTCTCATCTCCCTCCATTCCTTTTCATCATCCTGTTTTTCCCTCTTCGCCTCATCTTCCTTCTCCTCTATGTTCCTCCTTCTCCTCCTCCTCTTCACCTTCTCATCCAACTTCTCATCCATTTCTTTTTGTTTCTCCTCATCCTTCTCTTGCATTTTCTCCTTGCCAATTATATGAGATTCCACAAGGCTAAGTGCTGGGTCCTGAACTTGGGTCATAACAACCGTAAGCAATGCTACAGGCTTGGGGAAGAGTCACTGGAGAGCTGCCCAGCGGAAAAGGACCTGGCGGTGTTGGTCGACAGTCAGTTGACTATGAGCTGGTAGTGTTGCCAGGTGGCCAAGGAGGCAAATAGCATCCTAGCGTGTGGGTGCAGAAATAGCGTGGCCAGCAGGACTAGGGAAGTGATTGTCCCCCTGTACTTAGCACTGGTGAGACCACACTTTTAATGCTGTGTTCAGTTTTGGCCCCTCACTATGAGAAAGACATTGACGTGCTGGAGCATGTCCAAAGAAGAGCAACGAAGCTGATGAAGGGTCTAGAGAACAATATTTATGATGAGCAGTTGAGGGAACTGGGCTTGTTTAGCCTGGAGACAAGGAAGCTGAGGGTAGCCCTTATCATCCTCTACAACTACCTGAAAGGAGGTTGTAACGAGGTGGGTGTTGGTTTCTTTTCCCAAGTAACAAGAGATAGGATGAGAGGAAAGAGCCTCAAGTTGTGCCAGGGGAGGTTTAAATTGGATATTAGGAAAAATTTCTTCACCAAAAGGGTTATCAGGCATTGGACCAGGCTGCCCAGGGAAGTGGTGGGTCACCATCCCTCCCTGGAGGTATTTAGATGTGTAGATGTGGCACTTAGGGACATGGTTTAGTGGTGGTCTTGGTAGTTTTAGGTTAACCATTGGACTTCATGATCTTAAGGGTCTCTGCCAACCTAAATGATTCTATGATTCTACTAATTCTCTGTTGCTGTCTTCTTCCTCATGTTTTTCCTTTTCCACCTCGTTTTCTTCCTCCTGTTCTTCCTTCTCTGGTACTTCATCCTCTTTTTCCACCTCCTCCTGCTGTTCTTCCTCCTCCTCCTCCACCTGTTCTTTCTGTTCTTCTTCCTCTTCCTCATGTTATTCCTCCTGGATTTTCTTCTTGTCCTCCTGTTCCTCCTTATTTTCCTTCTCTTCCTCCACCTCCTATTCTTCCTTCTCCTGTTCCTTCTTATTTCTCCCCTCCTCTTTCTCCTATTTCTTTCTTTTTCTTTTCCTCCTGCTCCTCCTCATCTTGTTGCTCCTGTTCTTCCTCCTCTTCCTCCTGTTTTTCCTCATTATCCACCTCCTTTTCCTCCTCATGCTCTTACTTTTCCTTTTTCTCCTTGTCTTTTTATTCCTCCTCCTCCTTTTCTTCCTCCAACCCCTCCTCCTTTTGTTCTTCTTGTTTCTCCTAGTCTTCAGCCTGCTCTTCCTCTTCTTTTTCCTCCACTTCTTCACGTTCTTCCTCTACTTCTTTGTTTCCCTCTTCTCTGTCCTCCTTGTGTTCCTCCTCCTCCTTATCCTCCTTCTGTTCTTCTTTCTCCTTTGCCTTCTTTTTCTTGTCCTCCTCATGATCCTGCTTCCCTTCATTTTCCTTGTCCTGTTCTTTGTATTGCTTCTGTTCTACCTACTTCGCCTTTTCCTCTGTTTTCCTCCTCCTCATCTTATTCTTTCTGATGCTTCTGTCTTTCTTCTTCCTTCTCATCTTCCTCTTTATCCTTCTTCTCCTCCTCTTCTGCCTTCATTTCCTGTTCCTCCTGTTCCTCTACCTCCTTTTCCTCCTCTGTTCATACCTTTTTTGCTGTTTTTCCACTGGTTTATCTATTTACTACTCTCTTATTCCTCTTCCTCCTCCTCTTGTCTCCTTCTCCTTTCTATCTTCATCCTCTCCTTCATCACTTCCTCCTCCTGTTCTCACTCCTTCTCAATCTGTTCTTCCTGTTCCTTTTGTCCTTCCTCCTATTCTTTTTCCTCCTACTCCTTATTTTCATTTTACTCTTCTTCCTATAACTTCTCTTCCTTTTCCTCTTCCTTCTCCCCCTGTATGGGATCACCTGGCTAAACAAGTTTCAGAGCACAAAGGTGAAATGCAGGGAGTTGAAATTTGACTCAGCTTCATCTCACCTTGACAGATCCTTATCTATGCAAAGATGACTTGGAGAAAGCTGCGTAAATGGCTCAGACCGAGGTTGCCTGAACACTGCATCTTGATAAGAACTGAAACCCAAAAGGAGCCTTGAATAATACCTTAACAAACAAAATGCCCTGAGCAGCATTCCACCACTATTCAGTAACTTCCTGTACTAGACATCACAAAATTAGCAATACAGACTAATTAGGTGAACTTCACACCACCAAAGATAAACATTCCAGATAGTATAATCCACTCGGGCATAATCCTGTCCACCCATCAAATCAGGAAATAAAACCCATAAAGTTTGGGTAGAAAATGGGGGAATCTTTTTCCAATGATACAGCTGGCGTGTAGGAGATTCTTCCTCCCTGTACAAGGTAACTTCCCAGGGGTTAGGAGGCCTTACCTGGAAGAGAGGGTAAGTGATTAAGAAACATACCTATGGTATTTGGCATGCTTTAAGATCGCGAGTAGTGCACTTTTTTAAGGTATTAATATCTAGCGTGCTTGTGGTTTATGTTAGTACACTCTGGAAATCACTCATAGGTTGTAATAGTGTATTCTATGAATTTTTTTTTTATTGCAATAGTGCATTCCTCCATTGTATCCATAAAACCCCTGCAATAGTGGCACATTGGACCTGTGAGTGAAGTTCAATTAAATTGTTAATTTGAACCTTACAGTGAAGTCTCTTTCTCACTGTCACACCTCCTTCTCCTCTTTTCCTGATCTTCCTCCATTTCCTCCTCCTTCTGTTCATCCTTTTTCTCCTCTTGTTCCTCCTCCTTTTTCACCTCCTGTTCCTCCTGTTCTTTTTTTTCTTTCTCATCCTTTTCCTTATTCTCCTTGTCATCCTTTTCTTCCTGTCTTCTTCCTCCTCTTCCTCTTGGTCCTCTTCCTTTTCCTTCTGTTCTCCTTCCTGCCTCTCCTTCTGTTCCTCCTACTGTCCTTCTTCCTGTTCTTCCTCCAGTTCTTAGTCCTCCTCCTGTTCCTTCTATTTTTCTTATTCATCATGTTCTTCTTTGTCATCTTTCTTCTCCTCTTTCTCCTTCTTCTCTTCTTTATCCTTTTCCTCCTCCTTTGATGTTACTTCCTCCTGCACCTCCTTCTACTCTTGTTTTTCATCTTTCTCCACCTCTTCCTCCTTCTCTTTCTTGATGTGCTCCTCTTCCCACTTTTCCTCCTCAACCTGTTCCTCTAAGTCTTCCTGTTCCTCTTGTTCCTCCTTTTGCCGTTTTTTCTCCTCTATCTCCTTCTGTTCTTCCTCCTTCTTATTGTCTTCCTCCTGTTCCTCATCCCGCTATTCCTCCTCTCTATCCTCCTCCTTTTCTTCTCATTCTCCTGCTGTTCTCCCTCCTGCTGTTCTTCCTCCTATTACTAATCCATTTCTTTTCTCCTTGTATTCCTCCTCTTCTTCCTGCTTCTCCTGATCCTTTTCCTCAGCTTCCCTCCCTCTTTCTGTTCCTCTTTATCCTTTTTATCTTCCTCCTTTTCATACTTCTCTTCCGTCATCTTCTTCCTCCTACACTTCCCCATCCTCCTCTTCTTTCACTTCCTTCTGTTCTTCCTCCTCGTACTTGTTTATTCTCCTCCTGTTCTGTTCTACCTCTTCGTCATTTTCCTCCTCGTCTTTCTCCTATTCTGCGTCATTCTTCTGCTCATCTTCCTCCTTTTCTTTCTCCTTCTCGTTCTTTTCCTCAGCCATTTTTTCCAACTTCTCCTCCTCTTGTTCCTTCTGTTCCTCCTCTTCTTCTTCCTCCTCCTCTTCCTCCTGCTTCTTTTCCTCTTTTTCCTTCTCCTGTTCCTCCTCCTCTGCTCTCTCCTCTCCCTTTTCCTCATCCTCCTGTCTTTTTTCATCCTCCTGTTTCTTTTCCTCAACTCTTCCTGTTCCTTTTTTCTTTGTCCTGTTCCATCATGCTCCTTTTGTTGCTCCTCTTCTTCCTCCTCCTGTTCCTCCCATTCCACCTGTTCCTTCTCTTCTTCCTTTTGCTTTATTTCCTCTGGTTAGACCAGTTCCTGCTCTCCGCCAGCCTTTCCTTCTCCTCCTCTTTTTCCTCCTTTTCTTAATCCTCCTCCTCCTGTTTCTCTTATCGTTCTTCCTTGTCCTCATCATTGCCCTTTTCCTTCTCTTCTTCTTCTTCATCCTCCTCTTCCTCCTTCTTTATTTTCTTTTCCTCCACATATTCCCTCATCTTCTTCTATTCTTGTTTGTATTCCTTCTCTTTTTCTTTTTCTCATCTTGCTCTTCCTTCTGTTCCACCTTTTTTCGCCTCTTCCTTCTTTCTATTGACTCTTCTTCAGCCATTTCCTCCTCTTCCCCATTCTCTTGCTCATCCTTTTCCTTTCTTTTTTCCTCCCTCCTGTTCCACATGTAGTTCCTTCTCCCTTTTGTTTTCCTACTGTTCCTCTTCCATTTTCATATGTCTTCCTCTTGTTCCTCCTTGTTTCCTCCATGTCCTCCTGTTCTTCCTGCTCCTCTTCCTTCTCCACTTCCTGCTGTTCCTCCTGTTTATCTTCCTGCTGTCGCTGTTCATGTTTGTCTAAGTCGTCATCATCCTCCTCCTCTTCCTCCTCCACTTCATCTTCCTCCTCCTCCTTTTCTTCTTCTTCATGTAATTATTCTTTGTCTTGTTCCTTCTTCTTGTCCTCCTATTCTTTTTCATCCTCCTACTGTTTCTCCTATCCTTCCTCTTGCTCCTCCTCATCTTCCTCCTGTTCTGCCATATTTTTTATCTTCCTCCTCCTGTTCATTCTGTTCCTCTTCTTTCTCCTTTTTCCTCTTCTCCCTTTTCCTCAAGTTCTTCCAGTTATTCCTCCCATTCTTCTTGTTTGTCGTCATCCTGTTCCTCCTTTTCTTCCTCCTCCTCTTCCTGTTTCTCCTTTTCCTGTTCCTCTATTGCTTTTTCTCCTTCTTTTTGAAATCTTGGTTGTTTTTTTCCTCCCTTGCTCTCCACCTCCTCTTCCTCCTGTTTCATCCTCCTTTTTCTCCTCTGATTTTTTCTTTCTTTACCTCATCCTGGGTTTTTATCCTCCTATTCCTTTCCTCCAGTTGTTCCTCCACTTCCTTGTCATTTTATTGTTCATTTACCTCAGCATCACAGAATAGTTCAGGTTGGATAGGACCTCTGAGATCATCTGGTCCAACCTCCATACTCAACCAGGACTACCTACAGCCAGTTTCTCAAGACCGTGTCCAGACAGCTTTTAATATCTCTAAGGATGGAGACCCCACAACTTCCCTGGGTAACTTGTGCCAGTGCTTAGTCACCCTCCCAGTGTAAAAGTGTTTCCAGAAGAAACCTCCTGTGTTTCAGTTTGTGCCCCTGTCACTGGGCACCACTGAAAAAAGCTCTGTCCTCTTTGTACTCTCCTTTCAAGTATTTAAATACATTAATAAGATCCCCCTCTGAATCTTGTCTTCTCCAGTCTAAACAGTCCCAGGTCTATCATCCTTTCCTCATATGTGAGGTGCTCCAGTCCACTCATCATCTCTGTGATCCTTCATTGGATTGTCTACAGTAGGTCTATGGCTCTCTTGTATTGCAGAACTCAGAACTGGACACAGCATGCCAGGTGTGGCCTCACCAGTGCTGAGGAGAGAGGGGAAGGAGCAGTTATCCTCCCTCAACCTGCTGGCAATACTTTGCCTAATTCAGCCCAGGATACCATCTGCCTTACTTGCAGCAAGGGCACATTGTTCATTCATAGCCAACCTGGTGTCCACCAGGACCGCCAGGGCCTATTCTGCTGTGCTGCTTTCCAGGCCCCCAGCATATATTGGTGCATGGGGTTGTTCCTCCCTGGGTGCAGGGCATATTGCCTGTCCTTGTTGTAACTTTACGAGGTTCCTGCCAGCCCATTTATCCAGCCTTACTGAAGTCCAAGTAGACAATATCCACTGCTTCCCCTCATCTAGCACGTCAGTCATTTCATCATGGAAGTTTATCAAGCTGGTCAAACATGACCTCCCCTTGGTGAAGCCATGCTGGCTACTCCTGATGATTTTTTTTTTTTCTTTGTCATTCAAGCACCTGGAAATTGTTTCCAGGATTAGTTGCTGCATCACCTTTCCAGGGACTGAGGTGGGATTGACCATCTCATAGTTCCCTGGGTCCTCCTTCTTGCCCTTCTTGAAGATATGGGTAACATTTGCTTTAGTGCAGGCTTCTGGCACTTCTCCCAGTCACCGTGATAGATCAGATTATCGGGAGTAGCCACACAATGACATGAGACAGTTTCCTCAGCACTCGTGGGTGCATAACATCAGAGGGCCTTTGGACTTACGTATGTCTAGTTTCCTTAAGTATTCTCTGACTTGCTCCTCTTCCACCAAGGGTACACCTTTCTTGCTCCAGCCTTTCCCCAGCTCTGGGACCTGGGATTCCTGAAGGCTGGTCTTGCTAGTAAAAACTGAGGCAAAGGTGGCATTCCTTGCCTCAGCTTTTTCCATGTCCTATGTAACCAGGTCCCCTGCCTCATTGTGCAATGGGCCCACATTTTCCCTAGTTTGATCCTTTGTCTCCTGTGTACTTAAGAAGCTCTTCTTTCTGTCTTTGGATCACCTCCTTGGCCAGATTCAATTCCATTTGGGCTTTAGCTTTCCTGACTTTGTCCCTGGATGCTCAGACAATGTTTCCATGTTTTTCCCAGGTTACCTGTCCTTGTTTCCATCCTCTGTAACCACTGTTTCTGTATTAGAATTTGGCCAGGAGCCCCTTGTTCATCCACACAGGCCTCTTAACATTTTTGCCTGACTTCATATTTATCTTCTTGAGCTTGGAAGAGGTGATACTAGAATATTAACCAGCTTTCATGGCCCCATCCCCCTTCCCTCCAGGGCCTTATCTCATAGGGCTTTTCCAAGGAGATCTTTGAAGAGGCCAAAGGCTGCTTTCTTGAAGTGCAGGGTTGTGAGCTTACTTTTCACCCTCCTCCCTGCACTTAATCTTCAACTCCACCATCTCATTGTCACTGCAGCTCTGGCTGCCTTTATCCTTCACACCCCCAACAAGCCATTCCTTGTCGGTGAAGACGAAGTCCAGCAGAGCATCTCTCCTTGTTGTCTCCTCTGTTACTTGGAGGAAGAAGTTATCATCAGTGCACTCCAGGAACCTCCAAGTTTGCTTATGTCTTGCTGTGTTGTCCCTCTAGCAGCTATTGGTGTGGTTGCAGTGCCCCATGAGGACCAGGGCCTGCAATCTTGAGGCTGCTCCTCTCTGTATGTAGAGAGCATGATCCACTTGTTCTTCCTTGTCAGGTCAGACATACACTATACCTGTCACCTTTACCTGTTCTGTCTTTAATCCTAACCCATAATCTTTCAGCTGGCTTCTCATCCATCCCCAGAGATAGCTCCATGCACTCCAACTGCTCTCTCACAATAAAAGGCAACTCCCCCCCGCCTCGTCTGTCCAGCATGTCCTTCCAGCCATAGTAGCCATCCCACTGCTTCTCCGTGATCCCAACAAGATAGTAGCCTGCAGCTGCACACAGAACTCCTCATGTTTATTCTCCATTCTGTGTGCACTAGTGTACAGGCATTTTAGAGAGGCCTGCTTGCCTGCTAAGTTCTCAGAGAAGGTTTGGGTGGTTTCTCCATAATGGTGTCTTGTAGGTACTTCCTCGCTTACATGCAAGTGCTGGAGGTGACTCTCCTTTAGGCCCTTGATGTGGTGATCGCTTCCTGTCACATCACCCCCTGCCCTTTGCTCAGTGATCCTGTCTGTCACTCTCTCACAGGAATGCTGGTTGCTCCCTCCTTCCCCATCATTCTCAGATTAAAACCCTCCTTATTGGGTCAGCCATCATATTGGTGAAAACAGCTTTGCCCCGTTTAGCGAGGTGGATAACCTCTCCCCAGCAGAGGCTGACCAGCAAAGAGGGTCATGTCACCTGTCACCAACACCAGTTCCACAGCCAATTACTGACTTGTTATATTAATGCCCTTCTCCTCACACCCTTGCTCCTCACCGGCACGACTGAGGAGAACATCACCTGGACCTTCATGTCCCTGACTACTGCCCCCAGTTGGCAAGTCCTCCTCTTTTTTGTCCTCCTCCTCCGCTTCTTCCTCCTGCTGGTCCTCCTTTTCTGCCTCTTCCTCCTGCTGCTCCTTCTGTTTTCCATCTGCCTCCTCTGCCTTCTCCTGTTCCTGTTCCTCATTGTCCTCCTTCTGTTCCTCCTCTTCCTTGTGTTGTTCCTCCTTGTCCCCCTGTTCCTCCTTCTGGCCTTCATCCTCTTTATCCACTTGTTCTTCTGTTCCTCCTCCTCCTTCTTTTCCTCTCCTCCTCTTCTTGTTGCTCCTATTCCTCTTTCATGTTCGTGTTCCTCCTCCTTTGCTTTGTTTTCCTCTTCCATCTCCTCCTCATTGTCTTCCTGCTCCTCCTTTTCATCTTCCTGTTATTCCTGTCATCTTTATCCTTTTAATTCTCCTCCTTCTCTTCCTCTTCTTCTCTTTATCTTCCTATTCTTTTCTCCTTGTTTCTCATCTTGTTCTTCCCCCTCTTGTTATTCTTTCTCCTCCTTGTCCACCTTCTCATCCTCTTCCTCCTCCTGTTCTCCTCCTTCTTCTCCTGTTTCTCTCTCCCCCATTTTTCTTGTTCTTTTCCTCCTCTTTTTCCTTTTCCTCCTCTTCCTCCTCTTCTTTCTCTTCTTCTTCCTATTCTACCTCCTCCTGTTCAACCTTCTTCTTCTCATCCTTTTTGTTCCTCATCTTATTTCTTCTCTTTCTGTTATTCCTCCTCTTTTTCTCCTCCTTCTTCTTTTTGACTTCCATTTCCTCCTCCTCCCTTTCCTACTGTTTTTGCTGTTCTCTTCCTGTTACTTATGCTCTTCATCCACCTTTGCTTTCTCCTCATTCTCCTTGTGCTCATGTTTCTCCTTGTCCTCCTCCGTCCTTTCTCTCATGCTCCTTTTTTTTTTCCGGTTCTTCTCCTACTCATATTCATGTTCCTCTACCTCATATTAATCCTTCTGTTTCTTCCTACTCATATTCTATATTTTCCTCCTGCTCCACTTCCTACTCATCCTACTCCTGTTTCCTGTCCTCTTTCTTTCTTGTTCTTTCTGTGTGTCATCCTCATCCTCTTTCTCTTCCTGTCCTTCCTCTTGCTTTTTTCCCTTCTCCTTCTTTTCTTTCTCTATTCTCATCCTTCTGTTCCCCTTTTTCCTCTTCCTCTTCTTCTGCCTTTTCCTCCTGTTTGTCCTACTGTTCTTCTTCCTCTTCTTTTTCCTGTTCCTCATCCTAGGAACCTTTTTTTCTGAAGCATCAGCTGTGAGCCAGCATCCTTGCACAGTCAGGAAATCTCTGCCTTTCCCCTGCCAAACCTACAGCTCACTCTAGGCTTTTGTCCTAAGTCTCCAACTACTTGTCCTGAATCCCACCCCCTTTCTTCTGCTCTTGGTGAATTGCTGAGCACAGGCATGTGTCCAAGTCTTGGAGCTGTGCAACATGAGCAGGACTAAAGCACACTGCTTTGCAGCATTTTAGGTGTTGGTATTCTGTATTCAGAGGAAACAAAGCTGCTGCTGCTTCTTTCACTGATTTACAGAAATTTGAATATGAAATAAAACTTTGAAAAAGTGTGGTCCTGTAAACACTTTCAAATACAGACAACTGTTCATGTGCATGAGCATCATTTGTGTGGGTAAAAGACCGTTGCCTTGCACCTTTGCTTCCTGACCCCAATTCATTTGAGTGAAGAGGGACAGGCAGGAAAGGTCTTATTTTTCATCACCTCAAACTTTTCTATCTTTTTTTTTCCAGTGTAACAGAAAGAGCACATAGAGAGTAACTGACTTGTGCTTGCCTCAGACCTGGATGGGTCATTTGCCTTGCGGGCTGCTTTTCCTGTAAGTGGGGGAGATAGGAGGAGGATTGTCACCGCATAGGTTCTGGCTCTTAATAAAAGAACAGCCTGACATAATTTCTCTGCTGTAGAAAGTACTTCAAGCCTTGTTTTGAAACTCCCATCACACCCAATGGAGCTCATCGTTGATGCTAAACTATGGCACGGAAGCTGTGAAACCTTCCACAGGACGAGTCCCTCTACTTCACCTGTCTCAGCTGTGGAAGTGAAATGGGATGAGGATGACCTTGTCCGCTGCAGCTGTTCTCAGTCACAGAGTGTGGAGAGTGGTGAGGGCCAGCGGAAATCCAGCAACATGGGTTGTGGTGTCAGCTGCCAGGTGGCCTTGGGGAGAGCATGGGATCATCATGGAAGCACACTAAAACATCACAGAGGCTTTGGGAGCCTGGGTGATGTAATCTGTGCTATTGCGCCATCTGGCTGATCTGGAGCTGAGAACGTTAAAAAAAAAGATATTGGCACCTGAGGAGAAGAGGATGTAGATTGGATAGTGGAGATTGCACCTCTGACTTAAAGAATTTTCTTGAAGGTTTTCCACAGCTGTGTATATGTGACTTGCATGAGAGCCTTGCTTCCTCCTGTTCCTTCATATTGTCATGAAACAGCTTTTTTTCACAGAATCACAGAATCACTAAGGTTGGAAAGGACCTTCAAGATCATCAAGTCCAACCATTAACCCAACACCACCATGCCCCCTAAACCATGTCCTGAAGTGCCACATGCACACGTTTTTTGAATACTCTTTTTTTCCCCTTGCCTCCCCTCCCCTCCCCTTCCCTTTGTGTACAACTAATACACTTGAATCATCCAGAACTTGAAAACTGTCCATTTGTTTCTAAGCAAGCAAATTTTTACCACCCTCTTGAATAGTTGGAGACCTTTGACAAGATTAGTCCTTAGGTCACATGAGCATTTTGTTCCTGCAATTGTCTACCCTGGAGGTGGTTAACCTTCCTAGATATGAAGTTGCCAACTGAAATAGTCCTGTGGCCAGAAGTCAAAAGCCACATCCCATGTGCAGTGGTGAGCTGAAACAAGGAGGTGCTCTGGACAGTCATTTGTGGTGGGATTCCTTAAGGTCCTGATGTTCCTGGTGGAGCAACACTAATTCTTAATTCTTTCAACTTCCTAGCTATTAACAGTACTTGTCCTGATGATGTAAGGTGATGCATGTCAGTATTGATCTCTCTGTGAGAGTATACTGTTTCCCTAGTTTCCCTGTATGTCCTGCCATTCAGGGGACCATGTAATAAACCTGTAACAAGAGTTTAATATACATGGATTTGAGATGGTTTTATCTCTGTCCCGGACACCTCCATGGAGGCAGACTGTTGGCTTCTTTGGGATTTTTGAAGTTGATCAATGAACCATTTTGGAAATTCCATGCAGCTTTTAGTGCTGAGGACTGAGCTGCCTTCTTCCAGTTCTTCCAGCCTTTCTATTGCAGAAAGCTGAAAGAGAGTTTCCAGGGCTTGAGTTTTGAGTAGTCTCTTTAGCACTGGCAAGGGTGCTGTCAATAGGAGTCACTTCCTATTTCCGACAGAATCCATTGTATAGCATTAATAAAAAGCCTTAGGCTGCA